GTTGCCAAGTGCAATTTGATCTGAAGTGGGGGACTCCCGTCCCGTGGCTGGAGAGCGCGTGCGCCGCATGCACGTCACCCAGAGGTAACGTGACCACGCCGGGCATGCTGAGGGCAGGGCCACGACCATCCGAGGGAAAACCATAGAGTTTTCCCTCAGATGACCATGGCCCCGCCCCCAGCGTCACCTCCGGGTGACGTGCACGTCGGGGTGGGGTTCCCCCCGGGGCCTGATCCGCCGGTGGCAGGGAATGGGCCTCTGGGGCGGGGGTTTCCCCACCCCCTGGGGGGACTTGGGAAGCCTAGTCCTCTGGGTCCCCCGTTCCCCGGAAGCATCACTTTTGAGAGGCCTATGGGTAAAGCAGGCGGTGTGAGGCAGGAATGTTCTGTTCTGCTGATGGAAGTGGCTTCTTGTTAGCAGAAAACTTAGTCTGGATTCAACCCTAAATCTGTTTTATCAGTTTAGCTGTCATGACCCCCCCCAAAAAAAAAAAAGTTGTGGGAATTGTGGTTTGGTGAGCGCTATAAGAATTCTTCACATGTCCAGGGAAAAGGGAATGGCTCTTACATCAGTGTAAGGCTATAATGTAGACAAGTGCCTTGGAGGATAGAATTGCGTGTCTGCGAGTCTGACTCCTGTGATGAAATTCCTACCAAGTTTTGGTGCTAGATCACTGACGGTATATGCTGGCTTGTGTGCAGACTTCATATCGCAAAGTTAAAATATTGTTCAAAGTATGTGTTACAGGCTTGCTGGGGTTTATGCACATACACTGAAGCCTCTTTCTGAAAAACAGTGTTCTACTTACACGGGATTTCAACTTTTAATTATTATTTTTTGGGGGGGGGGGAGAAATTTTGAACACAGCAGTAGGGGGAGCAGCTGCCCAAGAAACTGCAATAACTATGAACCAGCAAGCCTACTGGCTGAAAATCTTTTAACAGTTATCCACTAAGCTGCATTAGGAACTGCTACAAAAGGCATCCCTTAATTGTAAATAACTGATTAGTAGCTATAATGTTTAGACGTTCATTCCCTCCTACCTTTTTTAAACATGTAAAGGAGCAAGATGCCTGAAACGTCATTGCAACAAAACTTTTGTGCAGTCTGTCTCAAGTTGATTCAGCCGCCCTGTTTTCAAACAATTTAACTATTATTTAAGTTGAAGACTGGTGGGTTTCTCTGCCTACAAGCCTCTGATATTTGTAACAGTTGGCTAAAAGTCTGGTCAATAGAGCAAATAATAGAGCCTTTGTAGAAAAGGAGTCTTTTTTTTTAAGTGTGTTGCTGACTGCTAGTATCTTTGTAAGTTCTGCAGCTGAAGAAGGAAAAGGTCTCGAACTGTCCAATTCCCTTCTTGCTTCTGACCAGAAAACAATGGAACATGTCTGTTGAACATTATATACTTTATTTTGGGTGCTGTGATCAGTAGACAAAATCCATGGAGGTAAATCCATGAATGGAAAATCACAGAAATGATCTCCCTTGTTTTTCCCCACAGCCCCCAAAAAGCCGTTCTTGAAGGTCAGGGAATAGAGTGGGATTTTGTTTGCTTACATGTTTTAGCCCATCCTTCCCCTTTAAAAACGAAGGTCTGGTAGACGGGGCTGCAGCTGGAGAGAGTAATCAGCAGGAAGCTGCTCACACACCTCTCACATGAGCAGGGGTCATTTCGTAGAAAAAGACGTGCAGGAGCTTATTAGCATAACTTATCTGCATATGCCACGCCCCCTGACATCACCGGAAGTGTGCCAGAAGGCAACAACCACCGCTCAGGTGCCACTGGACTCTTTTGAATTAGCTATCGGGGGGGCTAGCTATCGGGGGGGGGACGCGCAGATCTGCCCTCACAGAGGAGGGAGAGCTTGTACCTGAATAAACCTTGGCCTTAAAGGTGCCACTGGACTGTTTTGAATTTCTATCTGGGGTGGAGGGGGGGGCTCTGCAACTTACCTGGCTGCTTCTTGCTCCTTGTGGCCCGGGGCTGCTGGGACTTGGGAGCAGGGGGCGGAGCTTGTTGCATGTGCCCACCCCCTGGGCTCTTTACTGCCGGAGCTCCGCTCCTGTGCGCTCCTGCAGGAAATGACCCCTGCACATGAGGAATTGCTCTGTTTGCAGAAGAGTTATTTCAAGAGGGGAGGAGATGATTTCTAGGGATCCCCTCCTACTTTTGGGATCCCCCTCCTACTCCTGCACTCGTCTGCAGAGAGAAGAAATCTGTTCAGTGAACTCCCTTCTGTTCAGATTGTGGGATACAGCCCATTGTTACTCTGGTCAGGACAGTATTCAGTCAGCTGGACCTCCTGCCTAGTTACCTTAAAAGGCCGAGCGACATCCCTCTTTTGCAGTTCTGGGCCTGGGACAATCCAACCCAGGTTTAGTGAATTGCGCTAATGCTCTGACAGTGCAATTCTATACAGAGTTACGCCAGTCTAAATCCAATGCCCTGTTATCTGACCACTCCAGTAAGCAATGTTCAGACTCTTCCTCCAAGTTAAGTGGATCTGCCTTCAACAGAAGCTGGAGAAAAATCCCTTAGGCTGGGAGGGACTTTTGAGTAGGTTACAACCCATTGATTTCAGTGCATTTTGCCTGGGGTCACTTTGTGTAGGATTGCACTGTAAACTGCTCTTGTCCCAGTATCTGTTTGTCTTACTCTTTTCTAAGGTGCTCTCCTAAAACTATTTGACAAGCAGACGACTGGTTGTACTTCTTTACTGGCTTGAGGACCTAACGAAACACGATGGCGTCCATGAGGACGCCACCACAATTTTAAAGCATAAAACGGGTGATTTAAAAGTGCCATGGGGGCCTGATCCCCTTGGTGACCCTTTTGGCATTTGAAAAGGCATGGCGGGAGGGAGAAGAACACCTCATCCCGCTGCACTTGTGGCATTTTTAAATCACCCTTTTTTTTTTTTTTGCTTTAAAATGGCTGCAGTGCCCTTGCCTAGTTTTGCCCCCAAATCACCGTATTCTACAGGACTTGGGTTAGCCTTTCTGATAATTTTTTTACTTTAGTATTTTAAAGTGTGGCCAGCTTTGTGATTTCCTGCCTACGTTACATACTTTTTTGACAAGACTTTTCTTCCTCCTCCTCCTTAGCCAAAGAAACTTGGATTTTCACATTTCGGAAACTTGAGAAAAAAGAAATTTGATGAATCTACAGATTACATTTGTCCTATGGATCCAAGTCCAAATACAACCAATGGGACTCAGAAGAGCTACGGTGCATACAAAGTACATAACGTGCTCCCTGACAAAGAATTAGATAAACTGGATCAGGTGCGCCCCTGGGATTGATGTAACTCTCCTCTCATCTTCTTCATGCATTCCCAAGCTTACCCAATAATCCTTTGTTACAGTTTAACCTAAAATGCATTAATGCATCTGCATGGATTTGATGAATGTATTGGGCTGAGGCTTGAAGGATATTAGAATGCCATCTCGAGGGTTCCCCCCCCCCCCCCCCGTTTCCAGCTATGTATCACCCTACTCATCTTCTCAAGCCCTTTTTCAGGAATACAAAAACTTTACACAAAGTTCATGACTGAAACAAAGGCAGTTGAAAGACTTGACCTAGCGTAGGTGCTCCACCTGAACTGCTGCCATAGCTGAGATTCTTTGAATCTGGACCCTTATTTTTTTAATATTCCATAGGTCCGGCCCAAAGATATTTTTAACTTTTTTATATGTAGTTTTACTGTATGGAGTTGTAAAGATGTGTCTAATATTTTATTCTGAAAACGAAACATCTGGATTGTATATTTTTTAATAAAGACATGCTATTTCAAGTGTGCAGCATCTTGCACCAAGCTGAATGTACACGACGTGTTATGAAAGGGGGCTATGTCCAACCATATAATTAAGAATGAACAAAACCAACCTTACCACTGGAACAATAAAAGTAGTTCTTGGGAAGGGAAGTCCCAAGTTCTTATAATAGTGGCTATTGTCTCTCTTTTTGTAACAGAATTATTTATACTTAAAACATTACACAGCTTTGAAGAGGTTCTGTAAAATATCTTCTGGATGATATTGCACAGAGAAACATGTGTAAAGTATTTTTTCTAAACCTGAAAAATGGAGCAGCTGGAACCGCCAGGCTTTTTGCAAGGACGGGAGTCTGAGACAACCTCTGTCGATTCTGGTTTCCAAGTCAGAAACTGGATTACAAAACTGGGGGGGGGGGGTGTTTTGAAAAGTCTAATCGTGAAAAGTGTAATTCTTTTCATATGCATGATTCCTTGCATCTAACACATTTCATTTTCCTTCATCCAAAATGCAAGTTACTGCTTATCCTGTTTTCTGGTATTAGATTGGGACCGCAATACTAGGAATCCGTAAAGTGGACAAGGGAGAAACAGGCACATCCCAAATGGTTTTAGAAAGCTTGTACTGATGATTAGCGCATTCATCCTCCTTGTCAGCAGAAACTCCTGCAACAGCTTATAATGAAATCAGAGCCCACGCTGTCTTGGCCCACCCTCGCCCATCTTTAGTCTTGATCCTGTTTTACTGCAAGGCAAGCAACGTTTCCCTTTAAAACGGGTTTGAGGACAAAGAGAGACCTCCCAGGTCCGAGCAAGAGTCTGGGTTGCTGTTGGAAACAGAATCCGGATCAGGTGTTTCAGGCCCGTAGCCAGAATTGTCTAAGTTGGGGGGCATTTAAATTTCTTAGGGGGCACAGGCTAATTGAATTGAATTACCCACACCAGCTGCTGCTTGGGGGCCCTGGGCTGGATGGGAAGTTGTGGGGCCTCGCCAATAAACCAGGGGGCCTAGCCCTGAGACACGCCCCACTGTAGCTATGGGCCTGGGGTGTTTCTAGGACTACAGATATCACTAGGCAAACAAAGAAGTGTGTTAGGAAGTTGGATGTTACTAGTATGGGCGATTTCTCACTAAAGCTGCCTCGCAGCACAGCCGCCGTTTGCCCCGACACAAACATGTCAATTTTACACCCGAAACTCTGGGGCTGCATGTTGACTTGCGGCTTCGCCCGATTTCCTCCGCAGTTTCGTGATCCTGGTTTTTGAGGATCATGAAACTGCGGAGGAAATCGGGCGAAGCCACGGGTCAAATGCAGCCCCGCAGCCTCGGGTGTGAAATTGACATGTTTGTCTTGGGGCAAACGGTGCTGCAAGGCAGCTCTAGTGAGAAATCGCCCTATGTTTCTCAGGGCACATGTAGGGTATGTGCGACACTTTGCTTGAGAATTGCCCTCCTGATGCAACTGGCCAAGGTGCTTTTATCGTTTGACAGTACCAAAGCTCAGAAGAGCTTTTACACTGGCAAGAACGAATGCCCTTCCCTTGGCGGTTTTGGAGGAGTAGGTATAATAAAGTATCATATGCTAGCGCAACATGCAGGTGCTCATATGGCAAGAGTTGAAACCACTGAACACATGATTATGGAGTGCCCTATATTTAACAAGCTGAGAGCCAATTTAATCACCCCTTTACTTAGAAATGCGGAATTGCTTAATACGAGAGCCCAGGGTGACATGGCTATTATCGGATAAAAAACCAATCTTGTCACCCTTTCAGTGGCAAAATTTATAGGTGCAATAATTAAATACCAGGGAAATAATACTAAGGAAGGTCTTTTTAATTTCTGTTCTGATTTCTGCTTAAGGCGATGGCTGTATGAGCAGTACTAGGTATTTGGGTGTTACTAGGAAGCTGACAGTCATGTTATAAACACAACAGTGGTAAGGTATCCAGTCAAGCCAGCATGTTCAGCTGGCTAAGTGGGAAACCAATGGGGGAAGGTGGTTAAAATCCAAAACAGCTCCCACCTGTCAGGAAGCACTTCTCCACCGACCATGCTGTTTCTGGCTTGGAATGTGCCCAGGGAGATCTTGGTCAATCAAACCATTGTAGTAGTAGGATACTTCAGAGGAGGAAGCCCATTTTCTTGGGGTAGGGTGGGGGTATAAATCAACTGAATCAATAAATAAAATAAACATGGGCTTGGACCAACCTTTTCTGCTGGCAGATGTGCTCTTCGGCTAGCAAGGAGGAATGGCATTTTGGGGGTGAATCTTTCCTCCTCCTGCAAAGCCCCACGCATCACCCCAGTACTGCTCCTGGAGCACTGGGGGGGGGGGGAGTGCCCCAGGCTGCAGCAGGAGTTGGCGACAGGAAAGGCCCATTTCTCTGGCTGAGCTCCATCCAAGCCGCTTTGGAATCTAGCCTTGCTTGAACTGCTGAACACCCAACTAGTATCTCATGCCGTAAGGTGAATCTGTTCCATTTAGCTTAAAGCGAGCTGACTTCTTAACTTGACTGGGCATTACTTAGCATTTGCTTGACCAAGGGTACTTGACCCTGAATAGCAGTCATGTAAAACAACCAGTCTCAGGAAAACTTCTTGGGGGGCTTTGTTGCACAAACAGGTGCCTGCAAAGGGTATTCACTGCTCCTGCTTTGCTCTTAACTTTCTCTCCTCTGAAGTAAATGAGGACCTTTGTGGCTTTGAATAAATGAAGTTGTGAATCAAGGACACAACTGTATATTGCTACTATTTTAAACTTTGGTCTGATGTATGAATTTGGTGCAGTTGAAGGAAGGGCTGACTTTGCACAACATGGCTGGGGGCTTAGGTGGCTCTTTGTTCATTTGGGTCAACTTGAATTTGCAGATGGTGGTCACCTGAACAGCCCACTGCCAGCCCCAGATGAACAGCAAGTCAATGACAGGTTGTGTAAGAAGAAGAAAATCACGGAGCCTGTCACAGACTTGCTGGTCATCTTGAGTTTCTGAAAACTGTGTTTTGCAAGAGACACGTCAGCCTGGTTTGGAAAGCAAATTGCACCCCAAAATATTTCTAAACAATCAGGTTCCAGATACGTCAGTATATTTTAGGAATTAAGGGTCTCTGCATAGTGAATACGGAAATTATTGCTGGCAACATCCCCTCAAGTTCAAAGCATGTTTAACTCTCAAGGCAGCATGCTCGATACGTGAATTTGCATGCATCCATAAATAATGCTGTTAACTGCGGGGAAATGGAGAACTGGTCTCTTTAAGAACATACAGAGTTACACATCATTTGTTCAGTGAGCAAACTGTATTGCGTAACATTTCCAATAATCAAAATAGCATTGTTTTGGATCCTAGGACCAAGCAAAACTTCACTCATTAGATGGCTCTTCTCTGCTGCCCTCTGCTTTCTGCTTGCTATATAGTCCCCCCCCCCCAATGCCTCTTTGTGCTTCAGACTGCTCCTGGCAACTGCAAGACACAATGTAAGAGGGTTGCAGTGGGACGGGGGGGGGGGTCAGCAGAAATTGCAGAAACACCCTTCTGCTTACAGACTACTACTTAGGATCCAGACCAATATAATTCAACTTCATGTTGCAGAACATACATACAATATCTCTTATACATGCATGTAGTAACTGAGTAAGATGTTGTAGCTGTCTTGATTTCATCGAGCTGCTGAATGATTTTGCAGATGGAACATTCTGAAGGGACAGTAATGCAAATAGGGGAACTTTCTCAAGGAATAAACAACCTCACGGTATGTATTGTTTCTTTAAAGCAAATCAGGCTGTATTACAAGTAATCGCAGATTATCTATATTCAAAGGAACTACTATTTGAATTTTTTCAATCAATTCCTATAGATATGTGAATAAATACAGATTTGCTTAGTGTGATGAAGTTGATCTTCATGGTCTTTTTAGTCTTGGTGGTGGTCGGAAATGCCGACAAGCTGCAGAAATCAATTCAATCTAATTTATTGCGGTAGGAGCCAGTAAAACAGTACAATTCTGATATAAAAGGGATTAGAACAGTAATAACATGGGAATAATATAAAAACATTAACAGGAAAAGAGTTAATAAAATTAGTAAAGTAAAATAAGTGTTAATAAGAGAATCATACAATTTTTTCAGCTAATATAAGTCTACGTTTCCTAATAGCTAAGCAACAAAATCTTGCCACAGCGTAAGTCACTGAGCTCTGAACGTCTTCTAAGAGGAATTTACGAAGGACTTCTGGCCTAAAGTCAAGATAAGACTGCAAAGCCAATTTATGGCCACCTGACTCTTACCCTTAAGCAAATTTTCAACCTCTCTTCACGCACATCACTAAACTTCTTAAATGCAATGTAGGGTTCCCAAGTACCTACCTACGATCTGGTGGGGGACACATGCTTCCCCGCCGGGAGATTCTTGCTTGGAACACAGGTGCTGCACTATTCTGTCGCCCAGACATGACGTAGGCATGTCGCTGGGTGACGCTCTGGTAATGGGACTGGGAACTTGATGGTACCATCGAGTTTCCAGCCCCATTGCTAGAGTGTTGCCCGGCTACGTGCCTACGTCACGTCTGGGCGACGGAATAGTGCAGCGCCTGTGTTTTCCCCGCGGGAATGGTCCCGCAAAGAACTATACATCCCCCGCCGAATTAAGGTAAGTACTTGGGAGCCCTGATGCAATGGGTTCAACTAAGGCAAGTAAATTCCCATGCATGCGGCACAGTAGGGTGTCTGGCTCCGCTGCACCATGCCTCTGACCCGAATGAACTGGCTCTCCAAGGCCACAAAGTGTTGTGCTCTCCTAGAATTGGATAAAGTGGCCTGTCTTCATGCTTTATTCAGTGCCGTTTAGATGATGACTGGTGGAAAAAGAAGTGAGGCAGGCCAGCTATACCTCCACCTTTCTGCCAGCTGTACTGCTTGTCCAGTTAAACCTAATCTCACATTTATCAAGTTTTAAAGCCAAACACTAGATGCATAAATTAACTTTTTGGAATAAACATGTTCCATCCCAAACATGTGTACAAACTGTTCATTCTGTTTCTACTTACTTTGATAAAATAGTTATATATGAAAGTGTACTTGAAATAGGCTGTTGATAATTTACGGGCCTGTACATTTTTAGTAGCAGATTTCATTGCTTGCACCACTTAGCCTAGTATAACTTAATTTTTATGTATATTTTTGCTTCCAGACTATGTTAAGCCAAGATCAGATGCTGAACGATGATAGATTTTTAACGCCAACTTTTGACGAGTGGAGATGAAGATTCCATATGACCAACGCCACTCTTAATACCTTGACTGATATTTCAAGAAATGGCTGATGCTGGCTGGGTGCTATATTTAAGATTTTGCCACTGAAACGTAAAGACTTAAATGCTTTCTCTCAAGTACCATGTAGGGATTAAAAGAAACACTCCATAGTCTGGGTACTTTTAACACCTGCTTTCAAAGAATCTATGCAACACTTCTAAAAATAGTGGGGAAATCAGGGTATGTGTGTGTGTGTGTAGATATATATATTAATCACAGTAAGCCATTTTAGTGGTCAGTGATTCATTTTCTATATTTTGTATTTCTGAAGACTTGACTACAGTACAGACTCATTAATTTTCTAAGATATAATTTCTTTATGAATGTGTGTGTCCCGTCCCCCCCCCCCCCAATATTCCAGAAGGAATAAAAGAAGCAATCTCCTTGGATTAGTTATTTACCAGTAGTGGTAAAGCTGCAATTAGTAGCCAGAAACTCCCACCAGGAGAAGTAGTAATTCCCAGCCTGCACTGTGTTAACTATCCTTGCATTTTGTTATGAGTTATGGTTCTGCTCTGCAGGGAAGAGAACCTCTGCCTATGGAAGATGGTTTGATGCAGAGGTAGTCTTGAGGAGTAGGTGAGCTACAGGAGATGCTTTTCATTAAATACTGTTAAGTGCTCCAGCCTCGTTCAGGAGAAAGGGCAACCATGAAACCATATGCCCGATGCCACCCTTTAGGATCACATTTGCAGTTCCTCTATAAGGAAGAGATAATGGGACACCCGCATCACACTCTAGTTTCATTTTACAACTCAACTCAGGTTTCCTACGGCAGAAAGATCCTACTCTAAAAGACATTCCAAAAATCCTGTTATTTCAATAAAAATGCCACTCTGGTGTTTCTTTGCTGAATTCAATTCAATCCAGCTGTGAGAACTGCGAAGTCCAGGCTGCCAACCCCTATTTCAGAAGAAATGGATCATCGAAATCCTGTACCAGAGGAACACCCTAGCGCAGTGGTGGCGAACTTATGGCACGGGTGCCAGAGGTGGCACTCAGAGCCCTCTCTGTGGGCACGTGTGCCATCGCCCCAGCCAGGCCCAGACCATCATTTAAGTGTTGAATTCTCTGCCAAATAATTTTAAGTAAATGAAAGCATTTGGGATTGCTTTCCTTACTTTGTTTGGATCATCTTAAGTTAATGTATGAGCTGTTTTTTCTAAAGTAAAACCTCAGTATTCAGGTTAAATTGCCATGTTGGCACTTTGCGATAAATAAGTGGGTTTTGGGTCGCAGTTTGGGCACTCGGTCTCTAAAGGGTTCGCCATCACTGCCCTAGCGGCTTCTAGCATATTTATACTGTAACGCTATTCAGGATCTAGCACACTGACTTTGAAAGCATGTCAAATTTTGCTATATGTCATTTTTCTGTAGAGCCACAAGCATGCATTGCAATGTCCCATCATAGATGTCCAGTGTGAAGCACAGTCGTATTATAAGAATGTTGCCATTTGGTTAGAAAGCAGGATGACTTAAAAGAGCACTTCAAGCACAACTGTCACTGGGGGCCCTCAGAGCTTCTATGAGGAACTGTGCTTTTTCTTTTGAATCTGAATAGCTTATAACAGCATGGAAAACCATGGCTCAAATACATGTATGTTTATCTCCTGACTTGTGTTCAATATTGGGTAGTCCGTTTAAGAGTGTTCCACACAAGCGTATTCAAGTTGAAAATAATATCAGTTTGTTAAATGTATGATTAGCTAATAGTCACTGATCTCAGTAACCTTGTTATGGGCAAAGGGTGAAGGGCTGGACGATGCAGGTCTCTTGCACGAGCTTCATGCGGAGTCACTGGGGGAAAGTGCGACGTTTGTATTTTTATGCTAAGCTTGCAGTAGAAGAAGAAGAAGAAGAAGAAGAAGAGATTGGATTTATACCCCGCCCTTCACTACCCGAAGGTGTCTCAGAGCGGCTGACAAACTCCTTTCCCTTCCCCTCCCCACAACAGACACCCTGTGAGGTAAAAGAAGAAGAAGAGATTGGATTTATACCCCGCCCTTCACTACCCAAAGGTGTCTCAGAGCGGCTGACAAACTCCTTTCCCTTCCCCTCCCCACAACAGACACCCTGTGAGGTAAAAGAAGAAGAAGAGGAGATTGGATTTATACCCTGCCCTTCACTACCCAAAGGTGTCTCAGAGCGGCTTACAAACTCCTTTCCCCTCCCCTCCCCACCACAGACACCCTGTGAGGTAGGTGGGGCTGAGAGAGCTCTGACAGAAACGGCTCTTTTTCAAGAACAGCTCTTATCAGAACCACGGCTTGCCCAAGGCCATCCAGCCAGGTGCAAGTGGAGGAGTGGGGAATCAAACCCGGTTCTCCCAGATTAGAGTCCGCGCACTTAACCACAACACCAAACTAGCCATGATCTGGACAATCCCACCCTCCAGCCAAAGATCGCCTACTTAAATGCTCTCCCTTCCTCCTCCCATCATTCTGAAAGTATAACTTGAGCTGGGGAGAAGCCTACCTCCCCCCCACACACACCCCGCCCGTGCTGCCCTGCAACCAACCAGACAGGGTCAGAAGAGAGGGGGGCACAGACCAGAAGCCTCCTTTGCTCCTTCCAGCCTCTCCTTACTCCGGCGACGCAAAGGCCATGCCTTTTCAGTGTCCTTACAATGTTGTTCCTAGACCTGCTTCTGTTGGACAGAAGCAGCCACCCACTGCCACAGACTTCTTTTGTGCTACTAAAGAGAGGGACCAAACGCCAGTTTGGTGTAGTGGTTGAGTGCGTGGACTCTAATCTGGGAGAACCGGGTTTGATTCCCCACTCCTCCACTTGCACCTGCTGATGTGACCTTGGGTCAGTCACAAGCTCTGGCACAGCTGTCCTTGAAAAAGAGCAGTTTCTGTCAGAGCTCTCTCAGCTCCACCTACCTCACGGGGTGTCTGTCGTGGGGAGGGGAAGGGAAAGGCGTTTGTAAGCCGCTCTGAGACACCCAGTGAAGGGCGGGGTATAAATCCAATCTCTTCTTCTTCTTCTAATGCATCCTTTGTAGGTCATCACACATCTGTCGAGAGAACGGTGTATACCAACGGGTTTGACTTTTATCACAATTAACATGTGGTGTCATACTGGCTGTGTAAGGATACTCTTGCCCCCCCCCCTTTCTAATTCCTTGGACTATTTCTGAACTGAATGAGGACGAGACACTGAATGGAACGTGCGACAGAGCCTCATTTTGAAAACCTTGATACCGAATCAGACCATCAGTCCATCTATGTTGGCATTGTCTACTCAGACTGGCAGCGGCTCTCAGGCAGAGGTCTTTTACATCACCTGCTACCTGGTCCTTTTGGCTGGAGGTGCTGGGGATTGAACCCGGGGCCTTCTGCACGCCAAGGAGATGCTCCACCACTAAGCCACAGCCCTCTCAATATGAATTTTAACCACAAAAGCTATTTACGAGTGCTCTGTGCACTTACATCATTTAATCGGAGGAATTAGTACAACCTCAGCTTCAGTAAGCAAAAGTGTTCTCTTTGGCATATCCAAGTTTTTCGAGATTAGGTTGACAAGCAAACTGAATCATAGGTGGAGGCCCACACATCAGAATCAAGGTGTCGTCGCTAGGGGCAGGGAGATGGTCCTTTATCATGTCTGTAGTGACAAAACCAGAACTGTACTTCCAGCCTGAAATAAAAACGGGGGGAGAGTCAGATCTTTGCATGCTACGACATGGGAAAGATCAGACAGGTACTATATTCCCATAGGGCTATGACCTGATCTGGACACACAACTCTAGCACCTGAAAGGGTCTCTAGTCAGTTCAGTGAAAGAGGTGCAGGCACACACGTACTCTCTCTCTCGCAGGAGCTAGCCTTGCTGCCAACCAATGCTCCCTCTAAGCTGTGGAGTCTTGTGAGCAAAAATACTACTTTCTGAGCTACTGGCATTAGAGCTGTGAGTGAGCGATTTGCCTACTGTGTAAATTAGTTTGTTCTGGAGCCCTCCTTCCTGAGCTAAGGCAAAAATGTGTGAGCCGGAGGCTAAAAAACCATGAGCCGGCTCACACTAACTCAGCTTAGAGGGAACACTGCTGCCCGCATTAGGTTAATTCCTCACACACAAGGACAGAGTTGGAATGCTGCTGAAAATCCGTTCCACAGAATCTTTAAGAAAATCATGCTCACCTAAGATGCAAGTTTTAGATTAGTAATATAGGCTCCTGCTCTAGGGTACTTCCCAGTGTGCTGCACATGGCGATTCTCTCACAAAGCAGGTGTCCCTTTCCCCATGGGCTCAGAAGACAGTGCTAAGTAACATAAGACCTGTGCCATCCATGTTGCTAAGAAAGTCCTAGCACCTGATCCTCTTACTTTACTTGCAAAACTATGGCCCCGGTCACACGGGCTGGAAAATGCGCGGGGGGGGGAGCGTGGCTGTTTGCCCCGGGGCAAACTAATGCGCGACTGCGAGATCAGACGTCCGGTTGAGGTCCCGTGGCTAGGGGGGAGGTGCCGATCACACCACAGGTAAAGAAGCGGGGCGGCGCGGCAAACGGGGTTGTTGGGGTTTTTTTACTTTTCTAAACTGAAGTGTGCGCATGCTCCGTTGGGTGCTTGTGCGCATCCGTGGAGCCTTGGGGGAACAAAATGACCTGTTTGCGAGGGGACATGGGCGGGCGCTGGATGCCACCGGAAACGCGATCAGACGCCCGCCCTTGCCCCGCGGTTTCCGGAAACTAGTACCTCTGAGGTACCATTTTTTTGCCGCGCATCTTCAGAGGGAAGCCTCGGTTGAGCCACGGGAGCTCTACGCTTCCCAGATATGGTGGTGAGATCGCGCCCGGAAAATCCGTCTATCTTCCGTCTCTCTAGCGTGGCTACTGTTCCGTGTGAGCGCAGCCCAAGTTTCCTTTGCAAGGACTCTTGGGTGCATTACTGATGACAAATACTCATGGTGAGCCTGGTTTACGTATTTTAAAGCCACAAGCTGCCTGTGGCTCTTCTGAGCACTGTTCCTTCACAGAGCGCCCACCTCATGTTTCAAGAAAGCGGGCAGGACCATTGGCCTGGTGAGGCCTGCGTTTGGCAGGTGGTTCCTGTCTTGAAACAGCTGCCACCAATGGAACTGGAGGACAGGTATGGTGCGAGCCTTCCTGGGGCTCAAGCCTTCTGCCAAGGACGGAAGTAGGGTCCATCCTCCACAACAGCCCTCCCCCCCCCCAGCCTCTGTACTCTCATCCCAGCACCCCCGGGGGGGGCACCCAGGAGAATAGCAAACCGGCAGCAGAGAGGAGAGAGTGAAACCATGACCACCGCCAGACCAGTCTCACAGGAAAAGAAGAAGCTGACCATATTTGAGTGGCTTTAGTGGGCCAGGTTGCTATCTGGGCATCTTTTTAAAAAAAAATAATTTTTATTTCAAAATATCAGCATACAATAAAATCTGTAATGCAGTTACAGCAAAAAGGTCACACATGGTTTAACCCATAACTTTCTAAACAGTGCCTTATTAACAAACTGACTTGAGTGTAATTCACAAAGCAATAACTTTATAACAATAGCAGTACTAAACTAACCGTTAACAACTAAGTTCTCAGCTTTCTTAGTACACTTATACAAATAACAACTGTGGCAGCTAGTGAAACATGTACAATGACAGGGCATTTGTCCAAGGATTACTTGGCCTGTGCATCATAAACCTGTTTTGTTTACCTAGCAAAACCTTCCACGTGTTCATCGAGCGATGAGGACTTTTTGTTAGACGACGCTGGGCTGACCACTCTGAAATTTTATCATCAAGCAGGTATTCCCATAGCTTAGTATACCATTGTAGAGGGAGCAGCCTGAGTTTCCCAGTGCTTTGCGATAACGCACTTGGCTGCGGTTAAAAGTACCGAGATCAGATCTCTTATCGACTTTCTGGGCACCTTAGAAATCTCACTCTCTTGCTTGAACTGCTGTGCCTCATGCTGGAAACCGAATAAGGGGAAGGGAAGGGCACCCCGGCTTCTTGCGAAGAGAGGCTCCACAATACGGCTGGCTGGCTGGCTGGCTGGCTGGCTGGCTGGGAGCAGGCTTCTGCAGTGGGCCGCCTTAACTTCCCTCTCTGCCTTGTCGCGGTCTCCCTGGCACGGGGCACAGAAGCCTTGACTGTCTCGCTCTTACCTGAGCTGCAAGCCTCATCCTAAGGAGAGGGCAAGACGACAGCAAGAGAAGTATGCACAGATTCAGTAGCAAAAGGGGGAGGAGACCACTCAACATGCTTAGAGGTACTCTGTTAACTATAAAGGTCATAACTGTAGTTATATCATTGATATTAATAGTGATATCTTATACTGCTGCGTATTGGATGAGGGATGGTGCCCAGGGCACACATTCGTGTGGCTTCTTTGATTGGTCGTAATTGCAAATATGGCTTTTGTGAGACACAGAGTGAGTACCACTGTTTTAAAAGCATGAAGTGCTCAAACCGCTAGGAAGATAGAGCCTATTTTAGTTCTACCCCCATCGTTCAATACAGAAGGATCCCTGAAGGGGATGACACGGGACATAGCACAGAATTTATTGGCGGATGCAGTGCCGTGGGACGGCATCCCACCTGAATCCCAGTTCAAATGGAGCCCTTCTAGTTGCCTCCCTGCCCCTTCTCTCCGGGCTCATTCCCCTAATGGCTGGCCACAGGATGGTCCGTTGGCAGGTCCATGTTATCTTCACTCCCTTCCCCCCACAGTAGGCCTAAGCATTAACGGAGCTTTGCTCACGTGATTGACAGACAGCTTCTTTTGCTTTTGAAGACCTTACCTTGAGGGGGTCTGTCCAGAGTATACCAGAATTTAAATTGGTCCGGATGATTTGCAGCTACATCTTCAAGCTCTGGTCTCAGCAATATATCTTGCTCGGTCTACCAACAGAAGACCAATTGTTAAAGACCACTAAAATCATACTATACAAGACGAGCAAAAAAACTGTGACTCAGTTCGGTGCCTTTCTCTGTCCCCAAATACACACTGGCTTTCTGGCTGCACTGGCTCCTTCCTGTCAACCTCATTTATTTATTAAAACATTTATACCCCACCTTCCCTCATTAACCTCCTGAGCTCTGTAGAGGTTAGCAGTGAGATCTTAGCCGTTTTACGGAACCGACAGATCACCACTGCAGGGCACGTCAGGTGAACGGTCTTCCCCTAATCCAAGGTCACCAATTATAACTGCAACTCAGCTTTGGCAGCAAGCAAGAATCAGCACGATAAACACGACAGTCAGAGCTCACTTCCTCCGATGAGCTAGTATGTCAGAGAACACAACAGTTACACACCCAAAAATCTAGCCTGAATTGCAGAAGCCTTTTGCATATCCAGAGGTTTCTTTTCCCTTTGCTCATATGCAGTTCTGCTGCAACACATCAAAAGCTGGGGGGGGGGGGTTCCTTTGAAACAGAATGTTTCCCTTATACCAAGAGTGCTGCTTACCCTGTAGGCAGGGCTTTTTTGTAGAAAAAGCCCAGCAGGAACTCATTAGCATAATAGGCCACACCCAACAGCAGAAACGCATTAGCATACTAAGCCACACCCCTGACAGCACAGCTCATTGTCGTATTAGGCCACACCCCCATGCCTTCCCTTGGCTTGCCTGGGCGCCCCGTGGCTGTGAGGAACCCAGGCCAGCTGGCCCTTGGACAGACACAGGGAAGGCATTTAAATGCCTCCCCGATCCTTCCAGGGGGGCCCTGGCCCCCCCGCCCCGGAGTCCCCGGGGGGGGGGTGTCGCTCTCCAGGGCCTTCCCTCTGTAGCCACACACACAGAGGTTTTGGCTGTAGTGGGCGTGGCCAACTCTGAAGCCAGCCGGAACTCCAGACATCTAGTACACATGTACTCCCTCCCTGACTATATTGCAGCTATTCTTCTTTTCTAATAAAATTATAAATCGAAATGCTCACATAAATTGCTGCTTAAAAAGGGCTGATCACCATGCAGCCTTAATGTTCCTCCTCTGTAAAACCATAACATTTATTTGGCTGCCTGCAACCAGGCCTTTGCGCACAATCTGGGTATGATGCAAAAATGTGTACTTGCATGAACAAGATACCTTACTGAACGGCTCACATGTGCAGTTGTAATTGTGACTGGCTCTGGCAGAGTCATTTCGCAACGAGCTCTTATAAATGGACCCTGGCAAACAAACAAAGTGGACCCTCCAGGCTTGAAATCTGCCTGGTTCCAATACAGAAGACAAACTTTCCCAGGTGAGAAAAGAACGACACCAGCACATCATGTGCTACTTCGCAGCAACACCAGCAGTGAACAAGGACATCTGCACCCTCCTATGGGGAGGGGCAGGGAGCTGGCCTTTCCTACTTCATTGATGCTTCTGCCATTTATTTAAGAAATAATCAAGACCAGAGAAGTCCACTTGGGACTAGAGACTCCAGCACTTACGCAAGGATCTAAGGAACTTGCGATAAATGCCTCAGCCCAGCTTAGTACATGTGGGGAAATCTTCTTCAGCATACTTCTTGCTACTTTAAAAACCACATGCATAACTAGTTATCCAGATTCTTGTTCTTCCATCCGGCACCTCTGTATCTTTAGGAGAGGGTTCATTAAGCTACATCAGACGAAGGATATACTTCTTTGCCCTTTTAACAAAATTTCCTCCACTGTCATGGAAAGCACATCCTCAAATCTCTCTTCTACAAACTTGCACAACGGAAAACATGAAATGAAGTATTTTTCTTACATGCAAACTGTTGAGTGAGAGTACAGTTTGGGATGAACAGAAGAACATGACAGCAGCCATGCTGGATCAGATCTTAGTTCAGACCATGGCCAATGAGATGCCAACAGAAGATTTCCAGGCAGAGCACAGACTGCCTCTCTGTTATCCCTTAGCAGTAGAACTGAGTAGTAGAGCAGCAGAGAATTGCCACCTCTGAACATCAAGGTTGCATTTAGTTATCGTAGAGAATACCAATGATGGGCCTATCCTCCATGAATTTGTATAATCAGCTGGTAAAGCCAAATAAACTAGTGGCTACCAGTACATCCTTAAACAATGAGTTCCACAAGTTAATTACTCATTTAGTGAAGTACTTCCCTTTGCTCTGTCCAGAGTCCACTATCGGTCAATTTCACTGAATGCCTACTAGTTCACTCTATTCGCTGTCTCCACCTCGTACACAATTTTATTAACCCCTATGATTTTCCTCTTTAGTCATATTTTCTCTACGTTAAGCAAACCCACTCCTTAAACTTTCCTCACTGGAAAAGCACTCTACCCCTTCGTCATATTGGTTATTCTTTTCTGCAGCTTTCCAGCACTATAATATCCTTTTAGAGACACAAGAAACAGAATTGTGCGCAATATTCTAAATGTAGCCACGACACAGATCCATACAAGGAAACTACAATACAAGACACTTTGTATTTGACCCTTTGCTAACAATTTGTCACATATAATTTGCTGTTCTACACTGCTCTCTCACTCTGACTTGATATTTTTATTGAACTGTCTACAACTCCATGGTTGTCCTCTTGGTAAACAATATAACTGTATATTGAAAATTATTATTTTTGCCCAAGTGCATCACTTCACACTTTTTCACACTGAACCACACTGTTTTTGCTCACCCATTCATGTTTTTGCTCACCCATACAAGGCTGGAGAAATTATTTTGGAACACTTCAACTCTCATGCGAAATAATTTGGTGTTATCTGCAAACCTGGTCAATTCACTGCCCTCCTCAATCCATATAATTTATGAACACATTAAACAGCAACATCCCAGCTTCCAAACAGGTCTCCGCAGGAAT